AGACAGAGCCTTACTCTGTTGCCCTGGGTAGTGGGTGCCATAGTGTCATAGTTCACAACAACTTCAAACTTCTGGGTTTGAGCAAACCTCTCACCTCAGCCTCCCAAATAGTTGGGACTACAGGCACCTGCCATAACGCCCAGCTAGTTTTCTATTTTTAGTAGAGACGGGTCTCACTCCTGCTCAGGCTGGTCTGGAATTCCTGAGCTCAGGTGATCCACCTGCCTTGGCCTCCCAGTGTGCGAGGACTTCAGGCATGAGCCACCCAGCCAAAAAAATATATTTTTGCTACCTATACTAATTGGCTTTCAGGTTTACTCAAGACATAATACATTATTCACACACTGATCTTGTAGCCCACAACACTGATTACCAGCATTTTACTTTTTGTCAATTTATAAATCATCTCATACATTATAATCTTTATTCTACTGTGTGTCTTACGAGTATTTTAGTAAACACAATACTTCCTGGGCTTTCCACTTAGCACCCTTTTTTCTAGAAACTGTCCCATTCACTCCAACCCTTCTATATGGCTAATGTGACCTTACTGCTACCTATGGGTGATTGGTCCGGGAACGAACATCCCTGATGCCTAGTCCAGGAATGAGCAGCTGACTTAAGGTGGACCTATTAGGCACTTCCCTGGAAATGTGAAATTGGCTGCAAGACTCTATTTCCAACTAAGTGCTCTCATGATCACAGGAGCTTTTGGCTGTTACCTTACCTGTCACTTAGATTAAGCAACTGAAAAAACTTTTGTGTGAGAAGAGAAGAATGAATGGGAGACAGAAAGAGAGAATGGCAGAGATGGCGTGAGAACTCTTGAATGGTGCTCTAGTCTCTGATTCTAGGCTGTTCCTAAGGCTCAGCTACATCTCTGCCCTTGGATTCCAGGGTACAGCCTATGTAGTTATGGGTAAATCCCTCTTGCTGTGTAAGCTAGTTGAGGTTTCTGTTATCTCCAGCCACCAGTCCTAAAATAATTATCTACTCAATAAGATGTTAAGCTCCTTATTAGCAAGGGCTCAACCTCCACAGCACCATTATCCACACACATACTTATTTAAATTACCACCTGTGGTAAAGAATCTACCTGTTGTATACAACCTGGAAAATCACCTATCAAAATATTCAAGACATTCTTAGATGAGTATGTAGAAAACAATTAAGCATTGTATCCACTTTACAAAAAAGCTATGTCATTGTTTCACCAACTCATACCTGTGTACTCACTTTGTAAAAAATCATTTAATTTCCTCAGAGAGTAAGTTTCTTTTTGTATTACACATGTCCATTTGCACTTGCTTGGTAAATGTTTTTAAGTCTTTAAAAAACAAAGTGTTAGGATTTTCCTAAGAAGATCTGAAGTTTCTTGAGAACAAATAACTTCTATTTCCTTTTTTAGCAAGCTCTCACAAAACCTAATAAAAAACATTCAGCATAAAGAGATATAAACAAGCAGCTACCATCCTTGAATTCATTTTTTCTTCCTGTTAATTGGAAATATTGTCAAGTACTATAATTCCCACAAGGATAACTTAGGTGTAATTAAACAATACGGCGCATTTATTATTGCTATCATTGCAAGATGTAGACTGGGTAGGTGATAGGACACGCCTTCTCTGGCTGCACAGGAAACGAGGTTTTAGCAAGCTTGCTGTCTATAGGGTTACTAGGATCACTGATCTCTGTGATGTTAATTCCCTGCAGGTTCCTGGGAGTCTTCACTTCCTTACCCACAGTCCTCTTCCCCAAATCAAATCTAGGATCTGTCACCTAATTAGTTCTTAGTGGGAATAACAGACATAAAAGCAAAAATCCAAAATATTTTCTTACATCCCTATTAAAAATTCTATAGGGATAAACAGGCTAATCCTTCAAAGTCTAACACTTGATTCCTGAAAGGATTTCGTATTGCATTGTTTAATGTACCTTCCCTAAGATATATCAAAAAATTTTAAATTATACTTCTAATACAACAATGTTTCAAAGAAACAGAATCCCCTTTAAATTACTGACGTATTCCAGTTGGGTATAACTCCTTACTATATTAAGCACTGGGGCAGTTTCTGATGGTTCTGACCCCCAACTTTCTTCTCTGTAGCTGGAGGGAAACTGGGCTAGCCACAGCTCTGGGAGACAAAGTGCTGCTTAGTTACTACTGCCCTCCCCCCTCTCCCCCCCATTCGGGCCCCAAACTTTAACAATGGCTCACAAAACTATTAGGGCAGGAAGGGACTTGAGTGATTTCCCTTAACCTAATCATTTCACAAATGACAAAATGAGGTGGACAAGAGATCAATTCAGAGTAAACTGGGAAAGCCAGAACACTTAGAAAAAGGGTACTTGACCGTCCAGGTAGAAGCTCACTTTACCATACACCTGCTTAAACTGTGTAAGTATGTACAGTATTGAAATTCCCCTGCTTTCTAAGAGGGAAAAAAAGCAGAGACTTCAACTTTCTGCTTTTAAAAGTAAACATGAGAGGTAAAGTATCACATCTGATTTCATGGAGGTAAATAATTTTTTCTTAAATATCAGTCCATATCATACTTTAGATTTTAAAAATTGCCACTGAGGGCCAGGCATGCTGGCTCATGCCTGTAATCCCAGCACTCGGGGAGGGTGAGGTGGGTGGACTGCCTGAGTTCAGGAGTTCCAGACCAGCCTGAGGAAGAGCGAGACCCCATCCAAAATAGGAAAATAAGACTAGCTGGGTGTCGTGGTAGGCACCCGTAGTATCAGCTATCCAGCTATTCGGGGGGCTGAGGCAAGAGGATTGCTCAAACGCAGGAGTTTGAGATTGCTGTGAGCTATGATGCTCTCTACCCAAGGTGACAGAGTGAGACTGTCTCAAAGATAAAAAAATTGCCACTGAGGTATAAATGTCATGGATGGGCTTGCTCTGGAGGCTAAGTGAAAGGAAACTGAACACCAGATTTTCCCTGCAATCATATATAGTGAACTATATATACAGCAGCTATTGACTTTGTTGGCCAAAGGGATCCCCAATCCTCCTGACCATTAACAAAGTCTGTAGACCCTTGGACAGAAGGATGGGCATGTGTCCTAAGCCTTGGCTAATCAAATATCTCATATCACTGGCAAGTGTCTGAACTGTTCTGAGGAGGGCCAACCAGAATCCTTCCCTAGAACTGAACTGTGTATGACACAGAAGGTGAGAAAAATAAACTCCTTCCCTATTTCCCAAAGTGTGGAGAAGGCTGTCTGTGGTAGGAGAGCCTGAGGCCAACATTCAAAGAGAAATGGAGATGAGCAGGGTTAAAGAGAGCTCAGCAGTGTCAAACCCTTGGTTCTCACTCCTGAGCTGGTTCCTTTGATCTTGTAAGTTAACCCCATACCTTTATCAAGTAGAATCCAGAAGATTCTTTTTTGCTTCAAATAGTTTGATTTGGGTTTCTGGCACTTATAGCTCAAATATCCTAATCTATGTTTACCCCAGGAGAGAAGACCTTGCCCTTAATGCAGAAAAATCAATAAATTTTGGTGAAAATTTTTTTCTTGTTAATTTGGATGCCTTTCAGACAGGCACTACTGTCTCTAGTCTCTTGTATTGATCACTGCTAATAACCTTGACCTGTCAAGTTCACTGTTTCCATTTTATGGCCCCTCAAATTATGAGTTTGCCAACACTTTCCTTGAAAAATGTAAATTCCTCTAGAATTTTTTTTAATCCTAATATAAGTCTGTTTAATTTCCAGTAAAAGCTGAATATAAAATATATTCCAGGTATCACAAGCTATATGAGATTTTACCTTATCCAAAACTTCAAAAAGATGGTCTAGGTATCAATGTGATATTATTCCAGGAAACAGAATTTTAAAATTTAAGCAAATCTAACAGATATGACTACTTCAGTATAATGTACTAGTATGTTTTTTACTTTATAACCATAGAAATAAATAACATCAACAAATCTTAGGACTTACCTCCAATAAGGCTCCAGTTTGGAAGAATTTCAAAGGCTTTTCAATTGAATAATAAAGACTATGGTAGCTGCCCTTAGCCAGGTATGCTCTGACCAGACCAACTGCTATCACCAGCCACCTAATAAAAAAGAAAAGAGTAATCAAGGGAAAGAAAAGATCTAAGTAGGATTTAAGGGACTAAAAAGATGCAGCAATAACAGATATTGCTAAAGGTATATCTTAAGAATCAGAATCCTGCACTTATCCACTGTAGCTCTCAAATGCCAAGCTGTATTACACAGAAATATTGTACCACCAACAGCACCCTACCAAAAGCACAGTGGCACAGTGGCACCTCACCTATCTGGAGCTCTGTGTTTTTGCAACTTTGCCTATTGAGAACAAGGGTGAAATGGGGAATAAGCTAAAATGGGCTTCGGGTAGCTAAATTAGGTGCAAGAAAGTCTAAGATAAGAAAAAAACTGGTTAAGGAAAAAATGTAAATGGATTGTACAGTTCAAGGGTCTTTAATAATAATAGATGGAGAGATGTCAAATTATTTTTATAAATGTTTCTTTGGAACGGTCCTGTACCTTAAAATCTATTATTTTCAAACTGCCAATGAGCTGGGTGCTGTGGCCCACACCTGTGTTCCTAGGACTCTGGGAGTCTGAGGTGGATGGATTGCATGAGCTGGGGAGTTTGAGACCAGCCTGAGCAAGAGTGAGACCTTGTCTCTAAAACTAGCCGGGTGCTGGGGTGGGTACTTATGTGCAGGCACCTGTAGTCCCAACTATTCTGCAGGCTGAGGCAAGAGGGTTGCTTGAGCCCAAGAGTTCGAGGTTGCTGTGAGCTATAACGCCAAGGCACTCAATCCCAGGGCGACTGAGACTCTGTCTCAAAATAAATAAATAAATAAGCCAATGAAATAAGCACAAAAAGTTTTGTTTTTTTTTTTTTAAGAATAAAAGTTTAGTTAAACCTCTGAAAGCAACTCAGAAAACTCAATAAATATTGAATATAAACCACAACACAGGGAAGCACTTAAGCATACAGCTATGAATGCTACATTTCTGTTCTACTCTCCTTCTCAAAAAGAAATGTCAGGTCTTGCAATTTTTAATTTGTTAAGTTCCTTAATGAAACAAATGGGTCTTTTTTTAGGAAGGTATGTCTTCCGAAAGGCAGTTATAGATTTACTTAAATGCACACGTACAATCTAAACAAGGCAAAGGGGTATGTGGTCTCTGCTATTTCTAAAAATGATCATACAAGGGTATGAAATAGGAATTTGTAAAAGAAGAAATTAATTCCTTAGCAGTGCAACCGGTCCAGCATGAGCAGCCTATAAAAGAGCTTATTTTGCTCTCACAATTTCAATTTCTCTTCCTGGTTTAAGATATCATCACTCTTTACCCTCCACTCCATGTTCTATGTTCATCACCCCGGAATAGACCACTTTTCTTCTCACCACTGTGCTTGAAAATACCTCTCCAGTCCAATCCTCTCATCAAGAACCTTGCTAAAGTAACAATAATTTTATATATAAACACACGCAGATTCCTTAATGTTCTTTTAAATATCAAGGTATGTGACATGTAATAAAGAAAACTTGTACCTGCAATAGCTCTTCATTGCCCTGTAGGTCAAGATGAATGATTTCTAGATCCAGAACTTCCCTTTATTAACAAATCCTATGATCTCAAGCTAGTCACAACTTCTCTGAGCCTAGGTTTCAACACCTACCATTTCTAATTCTAGCGATAAGCCTATGATCTGCCCAAGATATATTTATTTTCACACACAAAAAAGGCAAGGTGCTGAACTGTAAATATACGTTACCATCTGTATTTTTTTTTTAAAAGAAGGGAAGTATGTATACATCCTTCCTTGTTTGTAACAGCATCTTCAGCATACACAAAATTGGTTGCCTCATTGGAGGGGAGCTGAGTAGAAGGGAAAGGTAGGAGAAAAGATTTTTACCCAAGACTCTTGCATGTATTTTGAAGTTTGAACCCTGCCAATGTATTAACCACTTTAAATAAAACTGGATGTTCACTATACATTTCAACTTTCCTGTATGTTTGAAATTTTTCATAATAAAACATTAGGGAAATCCTTTTACAAATGACTGTAATTAAAAAACACATTAACAGGCCAGTGCAGTGACTCATGCCTGTAATCCCAGTGCATTAGGAGGCTGAGGTGGGAGGACTTCTTAAAGGCTAGAGTTTTGAGACCAGCCTGACCGCCTCTCCACAAACAATTTCAAAAAATTAGCCAGGTGTGGCAATGTTCATCTTAGTTTTAGCTACTGAGAAGTGGAAAGGGGAGGATTGCTTGAGCCTAGGAGCTTGAGGCTGCAGTGAGGTATGATTGCACCACTGTACTAGAGCCAGGGCAAGAGAGCAAGACCCTGTATCCAAAATATATATATATATACACACATATATATAAATAGAATCAAGTACATAACAGTCTGATCTTGTGCTCCTCCTCACCAAAACCACAAGATAAAGAACTGTAGAGCTGGAGGAAACTTCAAGATCACCTAGTGACAGGGGGCCAGTTCACTGTCCCTCAGACCGTTGGAGGGCCGGACTGTGGGCCCTGGGACGAGGCGGCTGCTAAGCAGGACTGGCAGGGCGGCAAAAACACCCAGCCGGCTGGATAAATGTCCTAGACCGGCTGCATATGGCCCACAGGCGGTAGTTTGAGGATGCCTGACAATTCTATGGAGCCCTAGGGCTATAATTTACCCAAAGTCACACAGCTAGTTAACATCAACATTAAGAACCCAGTGTGATAAGAGATGGACTGAAATGAGAGAGGCACAAGATGGGTATAACCTGTTTCGAGGGTTTATCCTCGCCCCCTCCCCAGTAACTCTGCCTTCAGTTCCCAAGTTTCTTCTCTGCTTCAACCCATCCTAAAACGTCTAAACTCATCTAAAGCACGGCTCTGCTCAAGCCACTGGGCAAAACTTTGAACACTTTTCTTATACCTTCAGATTAAAGCGCAGCCTGGATTTTGAAAACAGCCGCCTAAATGAATGGTCACTCTGCAGCCACAGCTCTCTCCACTCCCCCAGCTTGGAACAGCTCACCATTCGTGACTAGCCGCTGGGCCGACTTCTGCGCTGCAGGACGGCCCGGCACACCGCCCCGAGACCTGCCCCTGTGGCCAGCCCACTCTCTCCCCCACGGCCCTAGCCAGCTAGCGCGTCGGCAGCCTTCCCGGCGTCCCTGTGCCCGGGAACTGGGCTCGTCCCCCAGCGCGGGCGTGTGCTAGCGGGCTGGCACCGGGGCCGGCTCTGTGCTCGGCATGCCTCGGCACCCAGGTGCAGGGTCCCAGACACCTACGGCTGAGCTGCACTGCGCGCCGCCGGCCGCAGAGCTCCCTCCCGGCCAGGCTGGCTCCCCGCCTCCACGAGCCCAAGCCTCACCCCGCAGTCATCACCACATTGTAGATGACCAGGTACGCCGTGGCCAGAGGCCCCGGACCCTTCTTCTTCCGCGCGCCGCTGGCTTCGCCGGCCCCAGCCCGGCCACCTCCAACCCCATTCCCCTTCGTCGCCGCAGTCGCTGCCGCTGCCGCCATGTCAAACGCCCAGAGCCCACTGTCCCTGCGCGAGCACCTCTGCCGGGCTCTGCCGGGCTCGGCCGGGCGCTGGGGCGGAGGGAGGGTTGAAGGAGAGGCGGGGCGGGGCCGCGGGGCGGAGCCGGGGACAGCGCCCACGGCGGCCGCCATCTTGGGTGAGGGCGCGGACGTACCTGGCACCCCCAGCCCTCGGCTCGCCTCCGTCTCCGCTGCCATATTGGATGAGGGTGATTTCCGCCTCCTGTGCGCTCCGGTAGCGACCTCCGGCGCCATCTTGAGTTAGGTTACTGTGGTGTTTGGCGATGGTTGCCAGGGCGCTGTGCCCGCCAGCTGGATGGTTCTCCGACCATGGGTATTAACTCTCCTATTAACCCCCACTTCCATGTTGGATCAAAACAATCGTGCCTTCGTTCTTCCTTTCCAATGGCCCTCTATTCACTTCTAAACAAACCCACCCCAGTAGGCTGCCATTTTGGATCAGGGCAGTTGACGCCCACTTCGCTTCCCCGGTCCTTTACAGGGTGGACTCTGCTCCTTAACCTGTAGCCGGGTTGAAAGTTCAGTCTCCAGAGGTTTCTTCCCTGCCTTTTGACTTTTAAGGTACAATTAAACGCTGAAGAAGGCCCTGTGGCTTAGAACGCAATGTCCGTGAGCTGGGCGGTGTTCTAGTGTCTCTTCCTTCCCGAAGCCGCTTGGGCTTTCTGGTCGCGTGGGTGGGAAGGGGACAGGCGATTCGGTAAGGCGTCGGCTGGCTGACCGTGGAGCGCGGAGGAAGGGAGCAGATTTATACCCACAAAGACCAAAAATAGGATGTTGGCTTAGGCGGGAAACCTGTCTGCTGAGGGAAACTGCAGACCTCACTTTGCACGCATTGCTTTTTTTCTAGGGGGTTATTTGTAAAGCCTCCTGCTGTCAATTTTAACACACCCAAGCGTCTCCTTAAATGAATTACAGTACATAAGGTGGTAGGAAATTTTTATGTATTCATTCCAACAATTATTCATGGAGCGTCTACAAAGTTGCCCTGGGATTCTCGGCATTAAATGGCAGGGACAAAGTCCTAGGTCTCCCAGAGACTACAGAGGGAGCCAGAGGAAAATGGGTATTAGTTGGTGGAACATGATTCCAGGTTATTCCACTAATCCAGGCCGCGCTTGGTAGCAATTGAGGTGATAAAACCCGATTGAATTCTGGATACGCTTTAGAAGTAGAACGCATAAGATTTGTGGGTATGTTAGATGTGTGAGATAAAAGGCATTGTGAGCAATTTGGAAGAAAAGAAGTTGTACAAGAAGTAATTTTGAAGGAGAGAATCAGTAATTTTGGTTTTTATGTTTTGAATTTCAAATCCTTGTTAGATATCCAAGTGGGGAGGTGGAATAGATAATTAGGTTTAGACTGATGTTCAGGGAAGAAATGTGGGCTGAAAATACAGATTTGAGCGTCTTCAGCGTGGTATTTAAAGCCATGGGACCAGGAGAGATGGAGAGATAGGAACTAAACAATTATGGGGGTCCCACTCTACTGCCTTCACAGATTGTATACAGATCCTGTTGCCTTGTTTTTCTAACTTTTTAAAAAAGAGAGTTAGTGGGCCCAAATTGCTGTGATCAGAGACCAAAAACTTTTTTTTTTTTTTTTTTGGCCGGGGTGGGGTTTGATCCCGCCACCTCCACTCCTTAGAGCCACAAGCACCACCCGAGACAAAAAACGTTTTTGCAAAAGAAAGTGAGCCATTTTGCAAAACCAAATTATCATTCATGTAAAAGTTTCTTTCTTCATTTGACTAATTTTTTCCCCCAATAAAATCTCCTTAATGGAAAAGTAGGAGCAGGTAGGAAGACATAAAGGTCTGTCAGTTGGAAATCAGTTTAAAACTCAATATATCTTCTTGCAGCCGTGTAGGTCTAATTCCAGTCTGCTCTCTGCAGTACAGTTAGAGTAATCTTTTCCAGATACAACTTTGTTGACGTCTACTCCTTTTCCCCACTTCACCCCCTTAAGACATTTTAGTGGGTGGCACCCATAGTTCAGTGTAGGGTGCTGGCCACATACACTGAGGTTGGTGCATTCAAACTGGCCTGGGCCAGCTAAAACAACAATGACAGCTGCAACAACAACAAAATAATAGTCAGGTGTTGTGGCAGGTGCCTGTAGTCCCAGCTACTTGGGAGGCTGAGGCAAGAGAATTGCTTAAACTCAGGAGTTTGAGGTTGCTGTGAGCTGTGACACCATGGACTGTACCCAGGGCAACAGCTTAAGACTCTGTCTCCAAAAAAAAAAAAAAGACCATTTAATGGCTTTTAATGGTACTTAAGAAAAACTATGAAATATTTACTGTGGTCTACCATAATCTGCATCCCCTACCTATCTCTTCAGTCTCCCTTCACACTCCCCATACTCACCTTACCTTTGGTTTTCCTGTGAGCAGCGCTCCTTCCTGCCACAGGGACTTTGCACATACTCCTCTCTCTGCCTAGAACAATCTCTCTCTATCCCTACTTTCTTCCTCCTGCTCTAAATTCTGCAGTCACTTTCTTAGGGGAAGTTGCCCTGAACTTATGTAATACATCATTTTACCCTCTGTGGTCTCCATGTATTTCTTTTCATGATGTATGCCACAGTAATTTTATATTTATTCATGTGACTTCTCTCCCTTATTAGCATACACATTTTATAAGATAGCAACAGTGGTGATTCCTTGGTGGTAGTACTTTGCTTGAGATGTTTGTGTTTGTCTGTTTCTCCCTCGCCTAATACACCACTTGGCAACACGAATAGATGTGGTTTCACTAGGAAAGTAGTTATTTCAAGACTTAGGACCAGGGTGGCTCAAAAGAATGGGGCACCGGCCCCATGTGCTGGGGGGGGGGGGGGGGTTCAAACCCACCCCTGGCCAAAAAACTGTTAAAAAAAAAAAAAAAAGACTTAGGACCGACAACGCAAGCATACCTTATTGTAGTCTTTCTATGAAATTGATATGTGAGTGCTGGGGTTAACATTTGTCTTTTTGCTGGGATTGTTAAAGATTAAAAGATGTAATCCTGAGGCTCCTTATTCCCTTCCATGTGAACAGAGATTGATACAAACAAGTCAAGCAGTCCAGTCCCTGACCCTGGTACCTGCTGTTTTTCCTTCAATTTTGTGAGTTAGCTCATTATTCTTTCCAGCTGGTGAGTCAGTACATTCCTTTTTCTTAATCTAGCATTCCCAGAACAAAGACCTTATCTCTTTTTCTCTTGTTCCAACAACAGTCCTGGCAACTCACCTCATTCATTTGTTGGTCCAGTGCCCATTACTGAGAAAATCATTGTGGTCAAAGAAGATAACATATGCTATTTGGCCAGGTTTTTGCCATATACTCATAGTGAGAGGAGGGCTGGCTTCACCCAAACTGTATGAATTAAGTTTGGGTGAGATAGAGTTGCTCTTTTTAATTGAAGGGGGTTGTTAACCATAGGAAGAGGATGGATGCTTGGCAAATATGGTAGGTTGAAAATTGGCTCCTCAAAAGATACTGATATCAAATACTTGGGACCTGTACATGTTACTGTATTTGGAAAAAAGGTCTCAGAAGATGTATTATTTAAGTTAAAGATCTTGTAATGAGAAGATAATTATCTAGGTGGCCCCTAAATGTAATCACATACGTCCAGCTATGTGTATCCATGAGTTCTAGAGTCATGAATTCAATCAATCAGGGATAGAAAACGTACTTAGGCCTGTGATGGCTGCATTTGTACATACTTTTTTTCTTGTTCTTATTCCCTAAATAATACAGTATAACAAGGATTGACAAAGCATTTATATTGTATTAGGTATTATGATCTCAAGGTGATTTAATGTGTACGGGAGGATATGAGTAGGTCATATGCAAATACTATGCCATTTTATATAAGAGACTTGAGCATCCTTCAATTTGGCATTTTCAGGAGTTACTAGAACCAATCCCCTGCAGATACTGAGGGTGACTGTATATCTTAATAAAACAGTCAACAGAGAGAATAAAGAGACACACAGACATAAAGTGATATGATGATGGAAGCAGAGACTGGAATGATGCAACCACCAGTCAAGGAATGCTGACAGCCAGAAAGAAGGATTCTTCCTGAGGGCCTCCAGAGAGTGCAGCTCTACTGAGACTTTGATTTCAAAATTTTGAGAATTGTGGAAGAACAAGTGTTATAAATTACCAGTTTGTGATAATTTGGCATAGCAGCCACAGAAAACTAATACAGCAGGTAAAAACAGCAAATGCCGAATGCATATTATCTGCTTCCAAGTATCCTACAGCCTAGTATGGAATAGCTACACTCAGAGAAAAATTGAGGATATTAAGCATATTATAGAGGTCTAAGTAAACATAGACCTCTCTTAGGTCTCTGAAAACATAGACCTCTTTTACATCTCAGAACATACCTAGAACTTTTTTTTTTTTTTTTTTTTTTTGCAGTTTATGGCTGGGGCTGGCTTAGAACCCACCACCTCCAGCATATGGGGCCGGTGCCCTACTCCTTGAGCCACAGGCGCTGCCCTACCTAGAACTTTTTTTGTGTGTGTGAGACTAGGTCTCACTCTGTCACCTCAGGTAGACTGCAGGGCCATCATCGTAGCTCACTGCAACCTTCAACTTCAGGGCTCAAGCAAAGAACTACTCAAAAAAAATCATTTTACCATAAGGACATTTGCATTTGAATATTTATAGCAGCTCAATTCATAATCACAAAGATGTAGAAACAACCCAAATGCCAGTCAACCCATAAATGGATTAATAAACTGTGGTGTGCGTATACCATGGAATGCTATTCAGCCATAAAAAAGATGGGGACTTTGCATCTTTTGTATTTACCTGGATGGATTTGGAGAACATTCTCCTAAGTAAAGTTTCTCAATAATGGAAAATCATGCATCCCTTGTACTCAGTACTAATCTGAAATTGGTAGATCAGTAACTAATAGGCCCACATGAGATAAAAACACAACTTAATTCAAGAAGGGGGCTTTTCCACGGAGCAGACAAGGTGGTGGAAGTGGAGCCAATGAG